TTGGTTTTTCTCCGGTACCGGGAACCGAACTCACGACCTTGCGCTTGCCAGGCAGGCGCTTTTGCCGCTGAGCTAAATCCCCAGCCCCTTCATTCCCTTTTTAATCCTTTCCCCTCCCCTCCCTCGCTACCCCCTTCATCTCTTGATCCCCTCCCCATTGGAGAACCCCCTATCTCCCTAGTTTCTGTTACTTTTTATTTTGCTCTTTATACTTTGGGTTTCCCATGTAAAAGACACCATGTAATATTTCACTGGGTGTCTGGTTTATTTCACTTAACATTATGGCATTCATTTTCCCACAAATGACTCAGGTCTATCCTTCTTTGTGGCACGGTAATACTCCATTGTGTATAATATCACATTCTTCATTCATTCACCTGTTGATGGAAAGATATGATGCTTCCAAGATTTAGCTGTTATGATTGTGCTACTGTAAACATGGTATGCATGTATCATGGTAATATGATGTCTTTAACCCTTTCAGGAAGATACCTAGAAAGGGAATACCTGGGCCACATGGAACTTTTATTTTTAGTTTTGTTTCTGTTTTTGTTTTTTCAGAATCTCCACACTGATCTCTGTAACGGTTGTACTAGTTTACATTCCCACCAGCAACGTAGAAGGGTCCTGCCCACCCTACCCCTGCAGCCTCTCCAGCACTTGTTATTATTTGATTTCTTGGTGCTGGCTATTCTTTCTGGGGTCAGATGGAATCTCAGTGCTCAACATGTCTGGATGTTTGAGAAAAGCAAATTAAACAACACTGAGATTCCATCTCACTACGAGCTGCATCTTGACAGAGGTCCCTAAAGACACATCTGTCCTCAGCGGACTCACCATTAATCCACTGTGGCTTCGTGGCTTTCCATCCCACCCAGCAGGCTGGCTTATGTTACCATCTCTTTTTTGGTGCTGAAATTGTCCCACACTTGCTGGCCTCTTCCAGCGGTCATTCTGACTTCAGGTTCTGGCCTACTTCCTACCGCCCCTCCCAGTCCAGAAGCTGATGTTCCTCCAAGGAGCCCTCGGTGGAGAAGGCTTTGGAGACACAGATCCTAATTAAGCCAGGTGAGCGCCCTGCTATCGAGCCCCGTGACCCTGGGAGTGGGGCTGGGCTGCACACGTGTCCATGCAGGTAAACCTACACACCCGTTTCTGCATCTGCTCTTACTGAGACCCCCTAGTCTACACCGCACCGCGGAGTCCAGCCCAGCATCGCAGGCCTTGTTTTCGTCTCCTCCCTTCCCACACTTCATCTCCCGCCCCTGCCCCCATCTTTCCACAGACGCTGATTTACTCCATCAGTCCCTGTCATACCAGCCTTCACCACCGAGGAGGGCACCCAGGACGCCTGCGGCCCGAAGCCCAGCGCAGACACCTGCCCCAGCTCGGCCGCACACAGAGGCCCTCCTGACCTTACTCTCAACGGCCTGTGTCCCAGTATCCTTCTCACACGCGTGGACTCCGAGACCCCGTCAGGGTGCCCCTCACCCACCTGACACCACACTGGGTCCATCCCCCTCTGAGATATGCAATTCCCGCAAAGCCAGAGCCCCGAGTACACTTCCTCTGCCCTCGCCTGGCCTCGGACACCCACACAGGCGGAGGGGAAGAGCAGAGAAATGAACAGGGAGGTGGGGGATGCTCAGGGAGGGCCGCCCACGTCCTCGGGGCTCCCTTTCTTGGTTTCCACCTTTGCAACAAAGTGTCACCTGTCACCCTATCAGACCCTATCTGTGTTGGCCACCGGTGGCCCCAGCTTAGTCCTGTCCCCTCCCAAGTCCACATTTTGGACTGCTGGCCTCCACCATTTTGGAATTGGCAGGACCACACTATCCCATGTGTTGACCTCACTGGGAGCCAGTTATGGGAAAAGGATGAAGAGGTTTTATTTTATATTTATTTATTTATTTACTTATTTATTTTTGAGTCAGGGTCTTGCTATATAGTTCAGGCTGGCCTTGAACTCATGGCGATCCTCCTACCTCAGCCTCCTGAGTGCTGGGATCACAGGCGTGCACCACCACGCTTGGCTGGGATGAAGAATTTTAGCCTCCATCTGGAACACAGCAACCGTAGGCCAGGGACGTCACACAGCCCGCGTGTCATTCCAGGTGCTTGTGAGGTCATATCCCAGAAAGGGACACCTTTTAAGGTATCTGTCAGATTTAAAAAGTGAGAATCAGTATCTCGTATTCAGATGGTTTTATTCTTTAAATAGGGTAGCTACTCATGACCTCAGTCTTTCAGTTATCACTCCTTGTATAACTGTTTTTTAAAAACATATGGTGTACAAAGATGCTGCCCTACTACTGCAGCTGTCAGCTGTGTCATGATACAAACAGGTTGCTGTGGGTGGCGGCGTCCTCAAGTCCACATCCTGAGCCCCAGGTCTTCCTGTGCTGCTGTTGGGAAGGCGAGATTGCTGTGCATCTTGGGAAGGGCCAGCTGTCTCAGAATCTCCACCCTGCCTTGTGCAGATGCCTCCTCCTCTCCCCCTTCCGTACCCCCCATGTATGAAGCAGCTCAAGGCCCTCACCAGGTACGGCTGTCTGACCCTGGACCCCCAGCCTCCAAGAACTGTGAGCTCTCTTCCTTTATGAACTCCAAACCTCTTTCCTTTATAAACCTCTCTGCCTCAACTATTCTGTGGTAGCTACAGAAAATGGGATGAGACACAGACAGGGCAGCCTGGTGTTTGGCTTTCTGCTGAGAACAGTGGAGGCCCGTGCTGGTTATTTATTATTTCTTTGTCTGTCTGTCTGTTTTCAGCAAGGCTGAGGATTGAACCAGAGCCTTAGCACACACTGGGTAAGTGCTCACCCCTGACTCCAGGCTGCTTTGGTTGGCCTCAAAGGTCCTGAGCATCCCGGAGAGCTGTGTGCCCAAGGCCTGGCTGCCCCAGAGGTCTCCGACCGACCTGCATCTTCTGTGTATCTCTGGAGGCAAAACTTCACATTTGTCTGCCCCAGAGTTGGCCAGGGCAAAGGGGTTGCACGGTCATTTTAGTAAGGGAAAGAGCGCTCCGAGCCAAGGGACAGGGGAGCACGGGGAGGTGACCAGGAAACACATGGGGACTGATGGACAACCAGCACGCGTCTAGCGAGCTCCATTCACACAGACCCGTCTGGTGTCACCCCTTCTCTGGTGACAAGAGTGCTGTCCTCTGCCTGACACCAGGTGACAGACACCCTGGGGGTGGGGTCTGCACCTAGCTGCTGAAGGAGGCAGGAAATTCCCTCCTGTGTTTGTCACTTCATAGCTGCCTTCATGTCAAATAAGCCTCACGCCACAGGGTGCATTTTAGGGAGGCTCAGTCTGGCCTCCTTCCGGGGAATCCACCAGCACCTGAGCTACTTAGAGAACTGGTGACATCGCACTGTCACTTTGCTGTGGGCCATGGGCTGGGGCTTGAGCTGGCCTGGTGCAAGCTGTGGAGCTCTCCTCCTGTGTTCCTGAGTCTGTGTCCCTCAAACTGCCCCTGTCCTCAGCACCCTGTCCTGCCCTGGTTCTGATTCCTGCCCTCTCTGCTGTCCCATCCTGCGACAGGGCTCAAAGAGTCACTTCCACTGCTTCTAAAACATTCTGAGAGCTGGTCAGGCTGAGGGAAGAGGATTGCTAGAAGTTGAAGGCCAGCCTGGGCTACATAGTGAGTTCCAAACCAGCCTGAACTGCACAGCAAGACCCTGTCTTAAAAAAAATCTAACATATAAACAATACATTTCTTTTTTTTTTCAAAGTTCACATTTTATTTAGATTGAAATAAACTATACAAAATTGTCTCCACCAAAAATAACAGCCGTATTTTCTGTGCTATTTCTAGATACACCACAAAATATTCATTTTGTAGGTTTTCCAGGTTTTGCTTATAAATCAAGATGAGGCGGTAGATAGAGTCATGGAAAAAGACAGAAGAAAACAGACAAGTCAGCTGCCTGTATGACGGCCTCTGATTCCATAGTGACCATGAAGTGGAAGTGTTCAACACTGATCTGCTGAGAAGCTTAGAAAGATGTAGGCGCCACAAAGGATGTAAACAGCAGGTGTGGACTACCGTGGTAAGCTTTTCCGTTCAAACTTTACCTGTAACCTCTTCTTTTAAGTTCATTTCATAAAGACAAAATCTACACTGAAATCGGGTCTGCTCGTACACTTCTCTCTAGTAATTCCCTTAACTGTCCGTTACAGAATTTTAATAACACACTTAAAACTCCTACTAATCACAGGTCAGTGATGGGCTTCACCACAATGTTTTATAAAATGCATTCCTTTCTCCCACATCACCTCAAAATTCATCTTCTCAAAAATTGACAACTCCGTACCCAAAAGGGGATCCACAGTGACAGTAAGTGTAAACAACCAATTTCTACAGCCTTTTTCCTCTTGACTTTATTTCTCTATCAAGTTTATACTTTTTCTCTCCATGAATGACTACCTGTATACATTTTTATGAATACCAATAAACTGTTTTCCAATATGACATACTTCCTTTTGCTTAAAATTTCTTTGTGACATCTCCCTGCTTTAAAACTGTTTTATTAATCCAGAAAGACAGCAGGAAAAGAAAGAAAGAGAAGGAGAAGAAAAGAGAGGAAGGAAGACAAAGACAGAAAAAGAGGGAAGAGTTTGGCTTAAAGTCCCTAAAAAGCTGTGGCCACCAAGTCAGATCCTAAAACGATCCAATCTCAGAGCCGGGATAGAAGGGAGCAAAGTCAGTCCCTTTCCAAGAAGTGCGGCCTTGGAGCAGAACACAGGGCCGAGGCTCCAGGCCTCCCTCTCTGCTGTTTCCCTTGGCCCAGGCCACACGGTCATCTTCTCCCCTAACCAAAACAATGCCCGAGATGTTCAAGGTTTTGTTTTGCGTTTCCTTGAAGTCTTTAGATCTCAACTAATATTTAAGATTACAGTTCACTAGGCACCTTTCAAAAGTGCATACTTAAGTCTGAAATTTTGTCCTTTGAAAATCTCTGAAAAAATTCAAGAGCTTGGATGAGTGTCAGAATTCCACCAATTCTTTTTTTTTTGAGCCTTGTTTATAAGAACAACAAGGCCGGCTCACACATGCGAGAGCCGATTACTCATAGTCAAAAGCAGTCCTAAACCCTCAGAGCTGGCAGGTTTCCTTCCTCTCTTGTGGTGTGAGTTGTATTAATCAGCCACTGGCCACACTCTGGTTTTCCTTTCTCTAACCCACATCCTCAAGAAGAGCTGAAGAATTTTCCAGTTATGCAACTTTGCCTAATGCGGCTCTGGCGCTGGCAGGGGCGTAGGGTGGGCTTTCTTTGGGATCTATTTCATTTTCTTAGCTTATTCCCTACTTTTCTTTTTTCTTTTTTTGGTACTGGAATCGAACTCAGGACTTTGCACTTGCCAGAAAAGTGCTTATGCCCCTGAGGTATCCCCAGCCCCGTCACTACTTCTCAAACTTTTTTTTTTTTGGTCTTCTTGAGAGACAGGGTCTCACTATGCAGTTCAGGCTGGACTTGAACTCACTTTGTAGCCCAGGTTGGCCTTTAACTCGCAATGATTCTCCTGCCTCAGCCTCCCAAGTGCTTGGATTACAGGCATGCACCAATACACCCAGTTAAACATTTTAAAAAAATATTTACTAGTCCATGTTGGTGATACATAATGATTCCATTCACTGTGGGGGGTTGGAATGGTTACATCTTCATTCCTTTTTTATCCCTACCTCCTTGATCCCCATCCCACTTGCAAATGATCAATCTGTTTTCTATTATCTATCTTTCATTTTGCTGTTTAACTTATTTGCACTTTGGGTTTCTCATAGAAGAGCAACCATGCACTATTTAAACTGGGTGTCTGATTTATTTCACTGAATGTCAGGGTTTCAAGGTGAATCCATGTCCCTGCAGATGACTCAGGTTTGTCTTTCTTTATGGCAGAGTAGTACTCCATTGTGTAAACACCAGAGTTTCTTTATCCATTCATCTTTTGATGGGCATATAGGCAGCTTCCAAGATTTAGCTACTATGATCGTGCAGCTATAATCATGCATGGATCATGGTAACACGATGTCTTTAACTTTTTTTTTTTTGTTTTTTTTTTTGGTCTTCCAGAGACAGGGTCTCCCTATGCAGTTCAGGCTGGCCTTGAGCTCATTTTGTAGCCCAGGCTGGTCTTGAACTCACAACAATCTTCCTGCCTTAGCCTCCCAAGTGCTGGGATTAGAGGCGTGCACCAGTACGCTGGCTAACTCTTTCAGGAAGATGCCTGGGGAGGAAGAGCTGGATCACATGGAAGTGCTAGTTCAGTTTTTTCAGGACTCTTTGCACTGATCTCCAGCATGGTCGGATGACTTTGTGTTCCCACTAGCAATGTAGAAAGGTTCCTTTCTCCCCATGGGCACAGATGGCTCCTATCTTTACCATAAACATTTTCAAACATACCAGAAACCGAGCAAATAAAACAACGAACCCATCACTATCTCCCCTAATCACTACCATTTTTATTCTCCGCTCCCCAACATGTTTTACATCTTCAATAAGCATCTTAAAGCCTGGCCTAGATGGCCACCATTTGTCTACAACAGAAGAGAACGTCTTCCCCAGCACCGACACAGTGCCGTCAAGAACCTAGCACAGTGGACAGAAATGCTGGGAGCTACTGACAGATCAGAGCGGCCACACCTACATCCCGAGCCCAGGGCAGGGCAGCTGTGATGGCAGAGGGGACAGGGGACTCCCTGGGACCCACAGGCCCTGTGCGTCTGTCTGCCACACTCTGCTTTTCCAGATCTCCTGAAAATCCTTTTCAGACACCTTGAACCCAGCAGTACTTGGAGAAGAGGATTTGGACGAAACCGAGCTACAGCTTCACATAAGCACCTCTGTCCTTTCAGAGCTGGTCTGTGTCCACTGACATCTCCCGAAGATGGCCTGTATGCCACCTGCTCCCAGGCCTCCGCTGTCCTCTGATGTAACGACTCTCTAAGTCTCAGTAAAGTTCTCAGTAAGGTTCCTCAGTGTTATAGTCTGTGTCTAGATGTCCCTCCCAAAGCCTCATGCAGTCATTCCAATGCTGGGATTATGGGTGTGAGCACTACACCTGCCCTAGGGCAGGTAACCTACATGCAATACAAGGGACAGAAAGTCTTTTCTCTTTCTCTCTCTCTCTCTTTCTCTCTCTCTCCATTTTTTGCTCTTGTTGCTTTTGCTGTCTTCCACCATGAACTTTCTCCTTTGCCATGCCACCCTGCCTTGGAGCCAACCAAGTATGGGTTGAAACCTCCACAAACTGTGAGCTAAATAAACCTTTCCTTCCTTAATTTTGGGCATTGGTATTTTGTCTCAGCAATGAGAGAGAAAAGTCACTGAGACACTCAGTTTCCCAACTCCCTCTGGGCCGAGTTGTCCCTACATCTGGGCAGATGTGTTTGGCAACAGCCGGGAGACTTCCGTGATCACTGAGCCGGAAAGGCCCCAGGTCATGTAAATTCTATAGATAGAATTTCCAGCCTCAGGCCATGAGCCGTCTGTCCCAGCCACGAGAGTAGAAAGTTGACCTTCTCTGCTGCTCCCTGACTTTCTATGCCTGGTGGTGCCCACCCCGTGACACCAGATGTCAGCTGTAGGTCCAGTAGGAGGAGACCACCCGGCCCTCACAGTGGGATTAGGTTGAGTTCTCTATTGAGTGAACCCAGGATTCTGAAGCTGATAGGACGCAGGTACCTTCTGCCCTGGGGAGAAGCAGATGACATGCACTGAGTGTCACGTCCCCGGGTATGGCTGAGAGTAGAGGCCTTCCTGAGGGTTTCCTGAAAGGCCACAAACATGGTCCACGTTTGTGGCTGCACCCTGAACATGTTTGTAGTCTGCGTTCATTGTTACAACGCATGATATCTCTAGCAATCTGTGGCTTTTGTTCAAGATTATTTTTTTTGTCTTTTTTGAGACAGGGTCTCACCTTGAACTTACCACGTAGCCCAGGCTGGCCTTGAATGCACACTGATCCACCTGCCTCAGCCTCCTGAGTGCTGGGATTATAGGCATGCACCGCCACAGCCCCGTCAAAGTTGGATTTGAAAGCCCCAGTTTACAGCCACATGTGTCTGACAGAAGAATATGCATTAGAAATAGAACAGAGCTGTTCTTAGAAGGCTGGACCATAGCTGGTGGGGACAGGAGGCCCTCGTCGCATGAAGGCCATCAGCGTCTAATGTGAGTAAAAGGGCGGGAACTGAAGCTCACAGGGACTCAGAGCAGATGGTGGGAAGTGTCAAGGCTGGACATGGAGTCCTCCAGAAGGCCACACCCTCCAGGGAGCAGGTGTTTGGACCTCACATTCCCCTCCGTTGTCCCAATTCCATAAAAGGAAACTCAGACTCTGTCAAGATGAGGGACACCCAAGGGAGGGGACTGAAACCTCGTGCATCTGGCCGTGACACATCAGGTGTGTCCTTCTGTTTAAAGAGCCCGACAGCCAACTTCCTGCTAGTATGAAAAGTTCAGTTTCTGGGCTTAAAAAGAAAGAGAAGAGAGAGGAATCTTAAACCTTGCCTATAAAGGAATTTACTTTCTCAAATCCAGTTTTATAAACAATACCATGAAAGGCCAGAAAGAAGCTGATCCGATTGGGGTATTTGTGTTTCATTTCTCAACTTGCTGCATTCCAGGAGCAGGTTTGTGGCGTTCGGGCGGGAACGCAGTAGAAAATACCCCGGATCAGGGAAATGTGCTCATTACCATTTGGAAACGCAGAACCATGTGTTTCTCCAGCTGCCGATTTTCCAGCTCCCCGCGGGACCGCAGGATTAGTTCATCTTGGCCCAAGGACAGCATGACGGATTCTCTCGGCCACAGCAATGATATTTCCCTGGTTCAGGACAGGGACAATGGCAGGAGGCGGCCAGCTGTACAGTTGGCCCTTCAGGTTGGGGATCCAGGCTCGGCAAGTGCGGATTTGGGAGGAAATGAGGTTTGTCTTGGTGGACCAGGTGGTTCAAGCCGGTCAAGGCAGAAAAGCATTTATTATCCGCTGTCAATTTTAAAAGATAGAGTGTTTATTAAACTTTTTTTAAACTCCCAAGTTCCTCATGGCTCAGTCCCTCGTCTGGGATCTACAAGCAGCTGGCACACACTCCAAGATCCTTTTTGCTTTCCGAAGTCTGTCTTCACCAGTCTGCGATGAAAGGAAAATCAGGGTTCCTGACAATGAGCGTGCAGGCCCCACCAACCCAAGCAGAAGCTTTCTACACATGAGCCATCGCCTGCGTATTCTCAGCCTGCTTCCTTGTCTTCATTTGCTCCAAATTAAATGTTTGCCATAGGAAAACCGAGCATATCATGACCATGACGTCTAACTTCGCTTGTCATTTGTTGTGGATAAAGTTCACACCGCCTCGTGTTATGCTGTTTGCTAAGGTGCGCTTTACAGTTTGCAGTCTTTTCGCTTGTTTGGAAACATAACCTGAGATCTGTGTGGGCTTGCTGTCGGCCTCTGAGAGCTCCACATCTGTGGATTTAACCAAGCGTAGATGAAAAGTATTTGGGGCACACATTGGCTGTGGACAGACTTTGTCCCCGTCATTCCCTTCATGACACACTGTAACAATTAGTTATACCGCGTTCACGCTGCATCAGATACTGCAGATAATCGGGAGGTGATTAGAAGTCTACTGCAGGGTGTGTATACGCTGTATGCAAAACTATATTACTTTACGTGAGAGACTGGAGCTTTGTGGATTTTAGTATCCCAGGTGCAGCCTGGAACCAGTTCCCCACTGGACACCAAAGGATGACTAGAAATACACAAAACCTCAGTTATTAAATCTCAGTGTTGGGGCTAGGGATGGAGCTCTGTGGTAGAGCACATGCTTAGCATGTATGAGGCCATGGGTTCTGTTTCCAGGACTGAACAAACAACATCAGTGTTTAAAAATAATATGCAAAAAGCTGGGCATGGTGGTGCATGACTGTAATCCCAGCACTCAGAAGGCTGAGGCAGGAGGATCACCATGAGTTCAAGACCAGCCTGAACTACATAGTTACCAAAAAAAAGTAGAAATTCCTCTCATTTCATAGAACCAGGATTTCCCTGTCTGATGCCTAAATACATACTTAACTTTGATTCTACATTTGTCACAAAATACCACTTTAAGTGTTGTTGCTAAATCATCCTTTCCAAATGTAATTAAAGACAACGAAAAGGCATATGCCTCTCCTTAAATGCAACTGAGCTGAGATGAATGTTTCTGTATAAACTGGAAATTTGGGTTGTAGTAGAAATCAACCGATTGTAGTGGGGTGGGGGGGCATTTCCATGGGTCGCCTCACCTCACACCGGAAGGACGGCGACCTGCCAACTCCTGCATCAGCCCTATGTCTTCCTCACCCTCTCAACAATGCCGCCCCCAGGCCTTTGGCTTGGAAAGTCTGGAGCTACCACCAAAACCAACCCTGGCCAGCAAAAGCCCAAAAGAATGTGGGGGCAGATGTGGGGAGCTGGGAGGGCGGAAGGACAGGAGACAGCGCTGAGTCACTAGGCCTCAGACGCCCCCAGAACCCAGGAAGTGGCACTGGTGGGCCTCTGGTCAGAAGCAGAAGTCCCTGTTTTCCTCAGGCTTCTGCCATGAGCTGCCATCTTGGCTTCTAGAACCTTCTGGGAAGACTCACTCATGCCTTCGTCTACTTGCCTCTTTTTTCTGTAGCTCCTCCAAGCTGAAGCCCCAATGGCTTCTTGTCCTGGCCTTAGCCCTACTCGAGTTTCACACACAGGCCCTCCAGGACCTCGGTCTTCCTGCTGCATGCGGTATAGACACACTCACCTGCTCACGGGCTTTACCTACTCCCTCTCCTGTGATGGGTCAGTCCTGACACCAGGCGTCCCTGCTGTTGTTGGCCCTTGTGTGTGGCAGGGACACTATTTGTCTACACTCTCTCCTTTGTCCTAGTTATGAAAAACCCAATTTTGTTCAGGGTGGCACCATACCCAGCTAAAATATGCCATTAGGGGTGACCAGTAACATAGTTCTGAGTTGTGTGGGTAGTTTGCTAGGGATTTCTGGAAATACTTTGTTTTCGAGATTATTCAGTTTGTCTTCCTTCTCTTGGTCTTTATCTTTCTACATGGGTTGCAGACTTGAGGCTGGAGCTGGGGCAGCTATCTTGAGACCATGGGCTGAAAAAAGTCACCCACTAAGGATGGTGGACAAAAAGCTGAATGATGTCCAGGCTGGCCGGGAAGCCACACCTGCCCCAATCTCTGGGAAGACCAGGGTAAGAGTACAAATGGAGGACTACGCAGCATGTATGAATTTTAAAACTCCTGGCACGTGAACAAGATGTCAGCTATGTACTCTCCCCAGCATGACGACATACTTCATTATGACAAGAGTTTAAAAGTATGTGTCAAGGTATGGTTTTAGGTGTCTGCAAAATACCAAAGTCAACTAAATATTTTAGTGCACTTCTCTGTATTCCAGGGAAGTTAGTTGTCAGTTATGATTACGCCTTGGCATTAGCGTTTGGAGGACCGGTTATCTGTGTAGAGAGGCGAGGATGAGACTTTTCAACAAGTAATCCAGGATAGAGCCTGGAAAGTTTCCTCTTTGGTTTAGTTTTATTTTTTAAAAGTAAATCTTGAATTCAGGCTCATGTCGTTACGGTTGATGCCTTTTGCAAGAGAAGTAAACAAACCCCTCTGACCCTTGTTTGTTGAGAGGATATTTTTGGCCCAAGCTTGAAGGAGGGCGATTCGACTCCATCTTTTATTTCTTGAACACGGCTCTGGAAACTGAACTAAGCCAAATAATTATGAAAACACTTTCATAAGATAAAGTTTAAAGAAGTTCTTTATAGAGACACATGGTGGATGATAGCTTTCCCTTTTCTAAATAGCAGTAGCCTGGGTCACACAGAAGGCAAACTTAATAGGTAGCTATTATGCCAACCACAGAGCACTCTGAATTCCGTGGTGGCAGATTCTCTGACCTCATCTCTGACATGCAGAGACTTCAGTCTTGTGATTTCACATTCAGAAATATATTCTTTCCACAGCCCTTCTCCTGCAAGTGGTTGCAGAGAGAGGTTTCTAGAACCTTCCTTGAACAGGCAGAAGAAAATGATAGGGTTTGCACTACATATGAGAGTACGGGTGTGGATGGACCAGGCCCCCGCCTGGCCCAACCTGAAGCCCTCCTGCTGTGAGCTCTGGTCCTTCCTTTCTTCGTCCATCCCTCCTTTTCTTCCTTCCTTTTTTTCCCTTGGAGTGGGAACTGAACCCAGGGCCTTTGCACTCACCAAGCTATACCCCCACCCCTTCTTTTTAATTTACAGTTACTAAGTTGCCCAGGTTGCCCTTAAACTTGCCATCCTTTTGCCTCAGTCTCCAGAGTAGCTGGGGCAACTGGCGTGCACTGGTGCCTACCGCACAGGTTCATCCTGTCTTTCTCTGTCCACCCTCAGCTTCCCTAACTCTGCACAGCCTGTGCCGGGGTCTCCTGGTGACATTCCATAGCGGACAGGGCCATGCAAGCGCGCACGGGAGGTGCTGGCCAGCCCCACATATGCGGAATCTACACAAGGGTGTGTGTTAGGGAGCAAACGAAGTCCTCCTGCCCCCCAAATCACAAGTTGGAGCCCTAGCCCCAGTGTGGCTGGATGGGGTAGCAGCGCCTTTAAGGAGGTCATCACGGGGAGATGAGGCTGTACAGTGGGTCCCCACCCCAAGGACTAGTGTGTTCTGCTCAGAGAGAGACCCAAAAATGGAGCTGCACCATCACCCCAAAAGCTTGGGCACCCCCGTGGGTTTGGTGCCTTCCTCCTCACCCCGGTGCTGGAATCGGGGGTTGAGAGCAAAGGATTCCGGGAGGGACTGGCACAGCCCCGAGGTCGGCTGTTTGGCTGCAGGGGAAAGGGCGGGGCGGGTTATTACCACAGACCCGCCTCTGATGAGCACCCTCCTTGCAGGAACCCCACCCACCCTCCACGAGGACTTCGGGCCTCATTTTAACTCCTGCGGGCGTGCGGCTCGGATAATAGCACGTCTGTGTTAGAGAGGGTAGACTGAGGCTGACAGAGGTTATGCTCCTCGGCCAAGCTGAGCGTCCAAGTCTCAACTGTGCCCTTGTGGGGAAGATAAGGGCGGTTCCTTTGGGCCGTGCTGCAGCAAGGGGATATTTTGGGAAATTACTATAATAAGCTGAATTATATCGTAGGCTTCACAGAGGCTCCATAAAGAGACAGCATCTGCGGAGCTGCTCCACCCCAGCCGGGGCGCTGATGCCCCTGGGTGGCGCTTAGCCTGGGCTCGGGATTCTTTATCTGTAACTACTTCAAGACAGCAAACCTTTTCATAGACACAGGCCCATTCATTGTCTCTCTGGGTCATTTTCTTAAAAGTATAAGAAAAACTCCGGGTCAAAGAAGCTTTTTCCGTGTGACTCTGCTCACATTGGGTTTTGACATGGCAGACCACGCCCGGTTCCCCTATTTCCTCTTGGAAATCCTCTCAACCAATGAAGCACAAATCTTAGATAAAAGTGGGACAGACGTCCACCCTGAGCTGCACTGGATGAAGAAGAAGGGCAAATGGAGGCAAGTTCACCCAGAAGAACTGTTTACCCTTCCAGAAGGTTCTGGAAGATTCTGCAGTAGGATGTGGGACTGTTTTTCTGTGGCCAACTGGGAGCAGGATTTTTACAGAGAGCTGTTAGACGCTGCCTCCTGCTCTTTTAGGCCAGATGTGTGGTAGAGTCTTGTTCCGATGAATCACTGAAGGGTCTTAAAAATGCCGCCTGTTCTTCAGGGCTGTCACTTCTCTTCAAGCTCTGCTGGCCTCGGAGAGCAGGTGTTCCCGGCAGCTCTTGCCCGTTTGGTCAGGCTGCCATTTGCAGGCAGTGCTGAGTGGGTGAGCTTAATGCTAGGGTGCAGAGGGCGGGTGTGCCCTTGGCGGGCACACGGGGAGCTACCCTCTCCAAAAGGCCCCCCAGGTCGGGAAGCTGAGATTTTGGTCTCTGGTTCCCCGACTCCAGCTTTGCTTAGGAAGCTGCTGGAAATGTGGTCCATGAGGAGGAGGAATGGGAATCAAAAGAAACCAGGATGAGGCAGACAGGAAATCCCAGAAACGGGGCTTCGGCACTGAGCAGAGGGAATTTCCAGGGGGGTGGTGAAGGGAAATCTGAGGGCAGAGGGAACTTCAGGTTGAGCAGGAATCAGATGCCCAGGGCTCCAGGGAAGGGTGTCCTGGAAACACACACACACACACACACACACACACACACACACAGAAGAGACTGATTATCAGATGGTCTAATACACAGGGCTCAGGTACAAGCAACACTAAGAAAATCCGAAAAAGGAGGCAAACTACTAACTTTTATTATTATACCTAAATAATCCTTAGGGGGCTGGGGATTTAGCTCAGCGGCAAAGCGCCTGCCTGGCAAGCGCAAGGTCGTGAGTTCAGTTCCCAGTACCGGAGGAAAAAAAAAAAAACAACAAAAAAACCAAAACTAAATAATCCTTAGGTATATTAGGAAGATGGGGTGGGGGCAACAACACAAAATCCTCAGCTATAAATCCACGTAGGATTCCTTCCGGGAGGCTCCACGGATACCAAAGTCTGCGGTGCTCAAATTCCTCATAACTATGGTGTATTTGCTTACAACCTGTGCATACCAGGCTACGCCTAAACCATCTTTAGATGCCTTATAATGCCCACTACAATGTCAGTGCTGAAGACGGGGTTGTTATATTGTATTGTCTAGGGAATAAAGACAAGAAGAACGGTCTGTCCATGTTCAGTGTGGACTCAAATTTTTAAGAAAATTTTTTGACCCATGGTTGTTTGCATTTGTGGGTGTAGAACCCATAGGTACAGAGGGCCAACTGTAGCTAACTGTAGTTAAAATATGGAAGT